AGTCCAGCACAGCCCTCCCCGGGAGCAGGCGCCGGGAGCTGTTTTGCCGCCACTGCCAAGCTCATGCAGTCACTACTTGTATTTCCATTAGACCTAGTCACCCTGTCCTCCCCGCTGCAGCCTGCACAAATATCAATATTTATTACAGAGAGAAATATTTACAGCGTTCCTCCCCCTCCGGGCACTCTACAAAGGGACACACATAAGCTTTGGTGTCTTTGAAAGGAATAACACTCACAAACATTTGCCTGTCACTGGCCACAAGAACACGTGCCGTCGGGGCCAGCGAGGAACTCAATATCACAACGAGACGCCGAGACAGAGACAAGACAGCAGCGCGAGCTGGCCCGTGGAGTGCTGGTTAAGGTTCTCCCTTGCCTGGAGCAAAGATTTCTTTCCCCTCCCCAGTGGAAATACAAGCCCTGCGCCCGACCCCGGGCGACACCGCGAATGCTGGCAGAGAAACTCAAGGGGAGCCTGTGCCGATCGACTCTGCAAGTCAAACAGAAAAGCAATAAATATCTCATCTCGCTACGACGAGTCTTTTCAAGTATCGCTCACTGTAAACATCGGGGGGTTGTTGGTTTTTACTGCAAGAAGGCGGAGGCGACCGCCAGCAACCACCACCAAAACGCAACCGAGGAGGCTTCATCCCAGCTCTGCCCGACGGGGAGAGGGCAGCGCAGGGTGCTGCCGGGTCACCGCGGCGGCGCCGGCATCCGGGAAGAGGCTGGAAAGGGGGAAAGCATTTAAAATCAGATCTCTCCTTGTTCAACAGTAAATGGGAGTTAAAAAAAATAGATATATATATATTGACACTATATAAATACATAGATAAAGCTGGATTTCAAGACAGGTTGGATGATCCGATGCTTTTGCAATTTGGGTAACGTTCCTTCTAGTGCCTATAAGTTACTCAGCCACGGAGCTATGGTCTGGCTAAACTGCTGTGTTACTTGTGTAGAAAGGTGTGGTGCAAACTTGTGCTCATATTTTTTAAGATCCCAAAAAGAAGACATTTTCGGTTTTCCAGACTTTCCAATTGGCGTAAGAGTCCGTTCGCAGAACGCCTGAGCCGTGTCCTCGGGAGTCTCTTGAGGACAGGATTCAGAGCTGGACCTTGTTGCCAGGGTTATCTCTGTGGCCTCTGTGGTTTTTGCTCTCTTTCTTTTTTTTTTCTTTTCCTTTTTTCTTTTTTTTAAAAAAAACCCTTTAAATAAAGTTTTATTTTCTAATATACATCAAACAATTTTCATGCAAAGCAGCAGTCATGGAGACATCCAGATTTTCCAGGTTCCTTCTTTCCATGTATACTCAAAAAAGTGATCCATCTTGATTTGACTTTGATTGAGATGCTTTGTCTTTCTCTCTTCCTGCCTTTTCAAACCGGATCCTATGTGATTCCGAGCACAGTCAGTCCTTGGGCCAGGCTCTGCTCCCTCCAGAAGAGCCTTGGTATTGATCTGTGTCCGGCGCCTTTCTTGCTTGTTCTCCCTCTTAATTCCCGAGAGTCCGTGCAATCCTCTGCCCTTTGCCGTCCACGAGCACCGCAACCTTTCTTCAGCTCTCAATAGACATGGCACCAATAAGTTGCTCTACTTTGTACGCCAGACGCTGCCTACGTGCCTGCTCATCCTGCTCCAAAGCCCCGATGAGCTGGTGCGGAAAAAAATAAAAAGGGAGAAAGAAAGAGAAAGAAGTCAGCTTGCGAGAGGGGGTGGTGGAGGTGGGTGGGCAGCAAGATGTGAGCAGCTTGGAACGTGGATGCGTGAAACTTCAATAACGAATGGCAAAGCAACGCGGCGAGCGCCTTGCCATGCCGCAGCCGTGCTCATTGATCTGTTGGACCGCTCGGCGCACGTTACCCGCACGACACAGTCGTTCCCGCTCTTGTACCTCGGCCTCCACGTTCCTTGCCTCATTTAGCACGGGAGTTATGAGAGTTTTAAACCCTAACCAGAAAATAGCTGTGGCATTGTATCACAAATGCATACATGCAATTAAATGACAAACCCCTTCCTTTTAATGGACATAATTGCAAAATAGGTTCTTCTTACGCTGAAATGGAGGGGTGGAACAGATGGCGAGAACTTGGTTTCAAGTGATGCATTCATTAAAGGAGCTCACGCTGCCAGGGATTCTTTGCAAACAGGAGCCTGCGTCACTGCAACATGGGATTGGTACCATGCTGTTCCCAAAAGACAGGGATGTTTCTGGGGAGCTTCACTGGGTCGTGACGATTTTCCACTGCATTTGGGAGTGGGCGGCACTGGGCGCCTGCCAAGGCTGAGGCATGCGGTTGCCCCCACAATATTTCAGCGCTCAGTCCCCGGGGCAGTATGCTACAGGCATGGCCAGGACCCTCAGGTGATTTATAGAATCATAGAATCACTTTGGTTGGAAAAGCCCTTTAAGATCATCGAGTCCAACCATTAACCTAACCCTGCCATCCCACCACTAAACCCTGTCCCTAAGCACCTCATCTATCCTTCTTTTAAATCCCTCCAGGGATGGGGACTCGACCACCTCCCTGGGCAGCCCCTTCCAGAGCCTGACAGCCCTTTCTGTGAAGAAATTTTTCCTCATGTCTAGCCTAAACCTGCCCTGGCGCAACTTCAGAACATTTCCCCTCGTCCAGTTTGTGCACGGGGAGAACAGAGCGGGGCAGCAGCGGTGCCAGCGACGCTGGTGCCGCATGGAGGACGAGGGCAGAGGAAGGAGCTCTGGGTGGCAGCAAGGGGGGATCACTGCCCAACCCACCACCATGCAGAAGCCTGGCTCCTCTCCCATGCCACACTTGCCGTGGGGTAGCATTGCCTCTGCGCCCGCCCCAGGGGACACCCACCTCTTCGCTGTACTTGCTGACATAGGAGTAGATCTCGTTGAGCGCGCTCAGCATGTTGAACTCGGCGGAGTGCAGGCGCGACTGCTCAGCGAGGTAGGCGTTCATGTCTTGGTCGCTGATGGCAGGGAGCTTGGCAATATCTGCGTAATACCTGCGGGAAGGAAGGGCCATGAGAAACACAGAGGCTCAAGGTGCCCCTCTGCTCCCTGGGATTTAAACTGAGCTCTGCAGGAGAAAGGACATCATTTCGCTTTACACTGGCATCTAGCAAGATGGGATCCTGGGCTGTAAGAAGCTTAGTGGTGGGATGGCAGGGTTAGGGTAAAGGTTGGATTCGATGACCTTAAAGGTCTTTTCCAACCAAAGCAATTCCATGATTCTATGATTCTAAGCTGAAAATAAGAGCAGCGATGCTCAGTAGTGCTGAGCTGTGCTACCAGCTCGCTGCACGAGCCACCCTGCTGCATCACTGGCCACCGAGAGCAAAGCTGCTCAGCGCAGGAGGTTCGGCAGGATGGGAGCGCCCAGGCCAGCCCCCTGCCCACGCTGCCACCGCCGCCGCTCACCTCTCCACCCAGCTCTTGTAGCTGGGGATGTCCTTGGCGTACAGCAGCTTGTTGGAGGGGGAATCCTTGCCCAGGCGGTGCTCCGAGGTGGAGCAGGAGTCCATGAAGGTCTGAGCCACAACAGAGAGGCAGGCGTCCGTGATGCTGCCTTTGTGGATATCAAACACGAACTGGGGGTTTTTGATGACGTTCACCCAGAATCGGAGAGGGAGGCTGCAGGGAAATCAAGAAACAAAATTAAATGTTAAGACAAAGGCTAGGAAAGGACACTTGCCGCGGTTTGTCTTCCCAAGCAGAATGCAAATGGGAGGAAGCAGCAGTAATCTGAATAGGAGCTGGGCCAGGTCCATCAAACACCAGTTAGCCCAGTCCTGCCCAGATCACTTGTGATGGGTCCCGCTATTCCTGGGCTGGACACTGCTGCCCTGCGCCCCCCGCCCCGAGCTGCTCTGGGGCCTGATCCTGCACAGAAAGGTGGAGGAGGTGAGAGCCAGGCGGGCAGAGGCGCCCAGGGCAGGCTGGCTGTGCCAGGGCAGAGCCAAGCAGCACTCAGTGGTACCGGGTGAGCAGCTCCTTGAGGAGCCCATTAAATCGAGGTGGTTAGAGTGGGAGTCTGCGGCGCGGGGCTGAGCCCGGGGCAGCCGTGCTGCTGCCCCACGCTCACCAGCCGCTGCCCGGCCACTCCGCAGTCCATCATCTGCAAGCGGTGCAGCAGGCATCAGAGGCTTTGTCCCCAAATCCCGAGGCCTTTGCAATCAAAGGGGAATTATTATTCCTTTTTTCTTTGGCTGTATAGCAGGATCAAAAAACCAGCTGCTGCTTTCTATTACCTTTCAAGTCTCGGCTCTCTCGAGCTACCCAGCTAGCTGCACCGAAGGCTGCAGCCTTAACTCTTGCTGCACTGCAGGCAAGCAGCTCAGCCGCATCCCCGGCAGTGCCAGCCCCCCTGCCCC